AAATTAAAGTTGAAATGGTAGCATGCGCTTCAGTGTGATGTCACCAGCCTCGCTGGGACTGGGAAAAGCTAACAGTACAATGTGAACAATAACAAGCAGATTCTTCAAGAATGCCTCCCCCCATGCAGGACAAATATTGGCATGTAATGGCTGTCTTCCTTCCCAGAATCCCCTGGGAATGTACTGGCCATCTCCTTTCCCAGCCTCCCTTGAGGCATACGGTGGCCATCTTCCTTCCCAGAATCCCCTAGGGCATGTGGTGGCCGTCTTCCATCCCAGCATCCCCTGGAGCATACGGTGGATGTGTTTCTTCCCAGCATTCCCTGGGGCATCCAGATGCTGTCCTCCTTCCCAGAATGCTTCCTGGCCCAACAACCTAAATCCTCCAACAGGTTCATTGTACTTTATTTCAAACAATTCCTCTGCTTTTTGTACGTCACATTAACTTATATTATAACAAAAGTAGGAATATAAATCCTCAACATGTTTTGATCCCAAAGTGAAAGTAAGCTGTTAAGTTCTGCTTGTGACATTTTCCTTCATTAGATTTCCGCATCACACAGCTATGGTGTGATGACACCGTGTGATCCTCCATTTCCATGGAAATGCACGTTTCCCGACACCCTTCCTTTTATTTCTGCCTCCTGTGTAACAGCTTCCTTTTCAGCAGCGGTGTCTCCCGTACATCCAGAAATTTGTGAAAACATCATCTTCAGACACCTCTCTCTTCAGCGTACATGCTGCCGATATCCTGAAGCACATTCCTTATTCTTCTAATATCTAGCTTTTAAATGGTTTTAAAGGTGCTCTTGCATAAAATGCCAGCTTGTTGCAGCTCTCCACCTGCCGCTGCACTGGCAGTCTGAATCAGGCAGTCTTTATGCGTAACAGTGGGCGGTGCGCACCGTGAGGGTGAAGGCAGTGTTTACACTCTAGGACATGCAGCGAAAGGTGATTTTAGTCAATTGTAACACAAAGCAAAATCTACATTCATTAGGACTGGAGTGCTGACCCCCCGCCCCCCCGCCATAACATGACTTTTCCAAGAACATGCCAGGAAAAACAAATGGCATTTTGAGGTGAGCTATTTTTATCTTGCGGTTTAATCCTGTCTCATTAGGAATTCTGCACCTCAGATGAAGCAGAAAGGAGACGTCGGACATCGAGGTTTTCTGCGCCTACTTAGGTTCATTTTTTAGGATGAGGAATTCTATCCCGGGGGTCTTCATTACGTTCTGGGGAAGGTTTCCGGTTATGGCGAAAGTCGGGCAAACTTTTTGCGCACATTACACATGATTAAAGCCTTTGTCTTCTTTGAAGTCCAGACTGCGATGTTTCACTCGCTAGTGGGGGGTCTTTTTCTTTAGGATAAAAATGACCCGAAATGCCGAATATCCTTTCACTCGACTCACTGATGAAGCATCATGTCGGCATAGAAGAGCTTTCTTCACATCTCAGAAGATTATATTCTTTATCAGTGTATACATCCAACAAAACGTCTTTGCATATATACTTCTGTGACTATCATCATGCTCATAGACACGTGATCTATAAGTGCGAAACACCTTTAAAATTCTTTACCCCATAGTGCTTTGTAATATGATTTTAGGGAGATTATGAGAATATAAGGTATCCATTTGTGTTCTGCTCTGATTGTTGGCGCATGATCCATCGCGGTTGGTGTTACACGTCATCACCTCTTCTCACCGTTGTATAGACTGAATATATACATAACAAACTGCAGCTATGTCCCTTCATCAGAAACACTATCACAGCACAACACATTGTTTTCTAAATCGTTTTGTCTGTTTTAGCATATCGTCTGTCCATTCTTTTCCCTAACAAACCATGCGCTTGATGCAGAAGACCGCTACAGAGGCACATTGCCATCTAGTGGCCTCGAATGTTACTACTAGTTGCTTGCGGACTTAATCTGGTATTCAGTATGTCGATAATGCCATGGTTTTCTGCTAGTGGCACAATGGGAGATGGGAGATGCTGATATCACCAATGTGAGGACCTTCCTTGGGGACTGACTGCATATCACCACTCATACTGAGCAGCTTTTCTTCTGACCATGAACTCCAGATAAAAGTGTGTAATGTTTATTTTATGCTTCTCTTCCTCCAGGTTTTGAAGTGTACATATATGTTCATTCAACTGAATTTAAGTAGCCTTCCTTGGGTGGAGGTCGATGAAAGTTCAACTTAAGTTAAAAAGTTGCGTCGCATGACCAGCAGCAGGGGAAGAGTCCTTTATGGATCTTTAGTAAAAAGGATTGTTATTCTATCTAGCTGATGATTTCTGTGACATTCTCCACCAAACCGATTTCGCCAAGCCCATTTCACAAACATTTTACTGGTCTAAAGTGCACTTCATCTGACTAATGAAGTAACTGATTAAAAAATATATATATATATATATTCTCTAACCATTTGCTACAAAACATAACTTTAAAACACAGAACCACATATAACTAATCAGTGCATTAATCCTGCCCTACACACTGGGATATAGCAAATAATGTGACTGTAATACTTTAATTCCTCTCATTAGATCGAATCATGACATGCATTTATGAGAGCAGCTCGTAATCTCAAACAGGAGCGATTTAGTATCTAACAGCACTATGAAAATGGGAGATTTAGTATGTGACACTACTACCAACCAGGAGAGATTTAGTATCTAACAGCACTATCAAAAGGGGAGATTTAGTATGTGACACTACTACCAACCAGGAGAGATTTAATATGTGAAATTTACATTTCACGTATTTGGAAGATGCTTTTATCCAAAGCAACATTTTTATTTTATTTTTTTTTTAGAAAACTGGGTCCAGTCCCAGTATCGGTTGAGGATTAAAGGCTGGTCTGCTTTGCCCACCCTGGAACGTGAACCTACAACCCGCGGGTGACAGGTGCAGCAGCCGAACCCGCTGAGCCGCACACCATCCCAGCACTGTTAAGGTAACAAAATATGACACCACCATCAAACAGCACATTTTCCAACAAGAAATGCCAGCGACAGCATCCAGTCTTCCTTTAATGCTTTAAATGGGTTCGGGTTACGGTTTGGGTTTAGAGGTTCGAGGTTTAGAGGTTATCTATACCCCCAACAATTCCAAATAGAGCCCAGACATGGAGCAAGGAGCTGACTGTAAGCCACATGTCTGGGGGGGGGGGGGGTTCCCCTCAGTTCAGCGACCCCCATGATATTCAGACACAGTCCCTGGCACTGCGGTTATAGAGAAACCACCCATCATTCTGCACCTGGTCAGGTTTTCCAATCAAACCTGCCGCCAGCCTTCTGAACCGATCGAAGCAAAATGTCACTTTTATGCCCTGTAGCCCAGACTTTAATTATTCATCAATTAAGGCTGTTTTTTTCCCCCTAAACTGATTTTTCATTCAGTTTGCAGCGATGTATGGTTCCCCTGCTGTTAACCAGCCCAGTGTCATTAGTTTCTGGGCATGCAATTAAGCTCCATGCATAATTCATCAACTCCAACTCCGTAGATGTTGCTATGAGCTCTTGAGGCTTGAGTAGAAAATTAATTCTGAGAAATTAAGTTTTTCTTGGGAATAAACAGATGCCACTGGACTCTAAGGAAGGGAAACTTCTTTTTTTTCATTGTGGTCTTGGGGCCTCGATGTACATCTGTACAGGATGTTAAAAGTCCTTCAGGCAGGCAGGGGGTATGTCATTTTTTACAAGCTCTTTGGGAAAAAGGCAAAAAGATTATTTATTTATTTTCTGGTAGGTGGGTTAGAACACTAAAATCATTAGCAGAAGAAGCTATCGAAATTTAAATTTTAACTACACATTCTTTTTTTTTTTTGGTGTGAAAACTCCCCAGAAACATGAAAGCAGCACAAACTGAGACTGTTATGTTGAATTATCGCTATTCAAGACGACTCTGGTGACAGAATCGCCTTCTAAAGAGCTGAAATAACTTGCTGTGCACCTAAAACTGTTCCAACACTGCCACCTGGTGGAGCATCCACGTTACAACATGTAAAAGATGTTTTACAGATTGAAAAAGGCTATTTAACGAACAAGTTCCCCCAAAGGTTCCGATATGTCCACACTATCTTACACACGGTCTCCTAAGATATACAGAACTGCATGTCCACTCGTACTGAAGCAGCTGGAGGACCAGAGCAGAGGTTTAGCTTCACAGCATGAGAGCAGAGACACTTCACATACAAGCGATTTGACCTTCGTAACAAGGTGACCACACGGTATCTGCAAGTCTGCCAGTAGCATGTGACTTTGTGTGTCTGTCCTGGGTGGAGCACATGATACCTGAAACAGGCTCCAACCACCGTGTCCCGGATAAGCAGAAGATAGCTCGATACTCCATGGGCTGATCTCCTGACCCAAGTGGACCAGCTCCTTGTGCACTGATGTGATCCATCTTGTGTGGTTATGGGTTGATGTTGATCACTTTTTATCTATACTCTAACAGATACCAGTGCAACATTTTCTAAACAGTGGGGTTCTGTCCTGCAGCCTGTTATTAAGGTCCAACCAGTCGGGGTCAAATGGTCCCATCCCCTTACTCTGGAATCCTGTTTTGTTAGATCATATCAAAAGAGAACCATGTTTCATGTCCAATACAGTCACTGCAAGGACAGTTATATATTTTACACACCTTCTTAACAGATGGCATTTGCAGAAATCCTACTGTAACCATCTGCTCAGGTTTCTTCATTTAAATCATGAATTAAACCATTCAATGTCCTGACTTATGCCTCCCACAACAATTATTTTATAATCTGTTTCCGAATCATCATTGTATGAGACTGACGCCCCAATTTAATGGAGTGGTTATTAGTACTGATGATTAGATAGGCGTTTCTCAGCCTTTCATTTTGGGCTTATATGATTTCACAGGCATGTTTCCAGTTGTTTAAGCAGCTTAAGATCTAAAACAGTGACAATATTCTTTCCATAAAAGCACCTTTAAAATGATCACTAGTAATTAACACTTTCGTGACTTTTCGTGAATGTGTTGACACACTTTTGTATTATTATACACAAAAAATGGGCATGCAGGAGCCTGAAGAATGAGGCATAACCAACAAAAAACAACATAGGGTAGTGGTTATAGGGTATAGCAAGGTATATGACTGTTTTTCTTAGATGCCCTAGTGGTACCTTTGAGAATGACACCCACTTTTATGTCTGGGTTAGGGTACATGCTAACACTAATGTGAAAACACTTGGTCCATGTGGCTTATTTCAAATTCATTATAACAAAACTTGAAAAGTACTTATAAAATCAAACAGGAAGCTTGCAAAAATGGATTATTAAATACCTTGCCTGATGTACTTAATTGTATCCCTGGGGGAACAGAATGATTATAATAACCTAATAAAAAAGACTGCATTAAATTGCTTCATTCTCAATCTATCCATATGAGTTAACAAGTTTTTAAAGCACAACTGAGATACACCAGTATGCTGTTACTTTAATTCCCATCTCATGAGATACATAATTTGGCATATGTTCTCAGAAACACAACCTAGCATTACCGAGACACAACTCTTCAGGTACATCTGCAAAATTGGCCACCAGGGGGGAACAAATCCTGCACTTCTTCAGATTCCAAAAAGTAACAGTTTCAGGCCACTGGATAAAGAGCACCAGAGCTGTCACTTAAACAGGAGCAGGTTTGCTCTAATTCTAACTCCAGAAGCACTGGTCTATGAAAATCACACAATGATGCAGGAGAAGAAGAAGAAGAATCTCAGGTCTCTTCTTCCTTCAGCGGCTCCACGGAATTGTAGTGTTCCCCAAGACCATAGGCGTGCCGCATGTAGCTGAAACACAACCCAACACGCATTGTGTTAGCTTCCCAGAACCGGCACACAGTCAACGATCAGCCCAGAGGGTCAAGTCAGGCGTGATGTGTGGATGTTGGACTTCCTGCTAAAAATTGCCAGAGGAGATGGTAGATAGATTTCCACAAACTTACACCAGAGTGATTGGTAGTTCACGGTACTCTTCGCCTATCACAATGGTGGGAGACTCTGCTTGAATGACCTCGATGGGGATCTTGAGGACTTGAGTCAGAGCTCGTAGCTGTCATGACACAAAGTCTGTTAGTGTACATTTACTATTATTGGTCATACATTTTACACACATCAGCAAAAAATATAAAATAAGCTTTAATAAGCAAGGGATAAAAATATATTGAAAGCCGGGACTATGCAACTTAAATGCTTTGAGTCGTGTATGAAATTGCTGGACAGACACAGCTGTTGGTGACTTCTGATGGCGGGGGGACATCTGTCAGGAATTGAGGTCACAGATGGCTCATGGCACAGGGAAGCAGCAATGACAGCATCTTTCTAAGCCATTCAGCAGACACTGCTTGAAAGTGTAAGGCCCAGTAGATAAGCAACTATGTCAAGGAGTCAAGGGGTTTCATCAAGTATGGTCCTTTGACCTCCAGTCATGTTACAGAGCTTAAAGCCTTTATTAAACCTTAATAACACCAAACATTTAAGCTGGATAAATACCGTTAAACAAGCAGAAGTGTACCCGCGTGCCACAGGGCAGAAATATGTGTTCTACAGTGTTTGTCTCTCAGTTTCAGGTGACTTTTAGTAATTGTTGTTAAACACAAAAGGTATTCTGATCAATCCCATTGATCCTCTAGTGATGAACTTCTATCCTGGGATGACAATGTCCTAATGCACAGGACACTGAACGGTTTGATGGTCTCCAGGTTTATAGTGAAGGGAAACTCAGCAGCGGTGCCTAAAACTACGTTTTTCACTAAACAATAGATTTTTAAATGGAGGAATAGTGTTGAATCACTTCGTCAGATCCAAGGGACACTAGAGCCAAAACTACAAAAAAAAAAACATTTGGTTGTTACCTGAGAAAAAAATCACTGAAAGGCTGAAATCTGTTAAATTCGAGTTCAATGTGCACAACAATAATAGTTTTCCTGCTTGGTACAGAATTGGCATTTCCAGCTTTTAGGTTACGGAGTACGTTCAGCTTGGGACCCGCTGGCCGTCACTCTTACCTCCAGTTGTCCACCCCAAGCCGCCGTGTCCGCGACCTCACTGCAGTATTTCTCAAATTCCTCTGTGGAGACAGAGATTTTTATTCAACATCAAGGACAGAAAGACAGGATGCAGCCTCTGTCTCAGAAAAAGGGGCGACTGAACGGAGTAACGTTGGCGACGTGATTTATTACAATATCGGTGCAGACTGAGGCGTTCCCTAACCAGGCAGAAGACAGGTGCTACGATGGCGAGGGATTAGGGATAAGCCGCTAAATTAAACAACGAGCTTAATGAGTAATGTAATGTGTGTAACGAGATCTGGAGGGTTTGGTAAAGGACAGGCAGTCCTCACCGGGCGTGAACATGTCGCCTGAGGTGGGATTGGTAAGAAAGGGGAGGAATTCCTCAGCGTGGGACCTCATGTGCTGGGCGGTCTGGCTGCGGAGCTCCGCCAAGCCCAGGGTGCAGCCTCGCCTCAGCAGCTGGTCCTCCACGGCCCGGTAAAGGCAGTGCCCGTCCGACATGATCTCTCTGATCTGCAGCTGCTTCCCTCCCAGTATCTGCGACAGCTTCTGGTTTTCCAGGTGCCGAGAGCCCTGCAGGTTCTCCACCTCGGCCTCCGCGATCCTGTTCTCCCTCTCCTTCTCCAGGGCGGCCTTCTTATCCTGAAGGCACGCAGACAAACAGTTAAAAAAAGTAACTGCACAGTTATAAAAATGCACTGCTTGTATGTCGGTGCCTGTTACAATCATCACTCGCGTCTCACCCGCCTCTTCTGGGCCTTGGAAGGACGCTGTTTGCACGGTTGTGGGTCATCGGCATCCAGATCCAGGCTCTGCACTCCATCGGCAAGATCATCAGCCTCAAAGCCACAAAATATGAAAGAAAAAAATTATCATTTGCATAATATACATTTCAGAAGGAAGAAGAAATATGTAATGTTAAATGTGGAGAATATTTCGACACAAGACGACTTTAAATATATACGAGCCATTCCATTTTAATTCAACAAATTTCCAAAAAAGACAGTTTTTGTATCACCATTTTTGACTTCTGAGCTTTCGAATGGGATACAGCTAAGCCACGCAGTTGTAATAGTAAAAAAGATACAGCATATATGACAACAAATCGTAATGCAAAAGTATTTATTGAATTGAAATAGAATGGCCTGTATATTTAAAAATATGTTTTCCAGAACAAAACTCAGAGAATCAACTTTCTAAAAAACTATATGTAAAAACGGTAAAAATCACTTTATTTGCACATTTCAAAACACACAGCCCACACACATCATTTATGCACATTTAAAACCTTTGTAAACAGAAAAATAAGAACACATACCTTGTCTCCAAGTACAGAACTGTTCAGTTGCTTCAGTTCCTCTTCATGTTTCTCACTGAGTTCAGCTTCTAGCTTTGCAATGTCCTCAGCCAGCTGTTTTCTCCTTTTTTTGTCATTTTTAGGTACAGCATTTTTCATACTCTGAATTTTGGCTGTCAAATGTAAAAAAAAAAAGTAAGCGACATTTACCACTAAAGTTAAGTGAAGGTAGGTTTCGCAGAGCGCCAGTGTTTCCTGGCTCTAGTGATGCTGGACTTCAGACTGTCGCCATGGCAATAATCCGGTGCATCCGCGCGATTCCAAATCATGCTTTTCTGAGAGAATAAAATCAGTTACACCAACACCACTGAAGATGATATGATGAACGAGAAAACTAAAACCCGTCACTTTCGGAAATGTGTCCCGCAAACCCGGACGGCTCATTCCCTGAATCAATCCATCCATCCATCTACCAGTACAGAGCTCGTTCCCCATTGGTGTGGGTATTATTAGCACCACACAGAGGATTATTCTATAATGTTTATTTCAAACTTCCAGCTGACCGATTCTTCATAGGACCTTGTAAAAGCGCGGTGAAGTTGGTTTTATGTTCGATATTCGCCACATTTACTGACATCAAAACTGCAATATCTTCGGGATCATGACGGCAATTCTTTTCAGATTAGGCTCCACATGTGAAGTTAAACGAGGGCAATATTTCACACTTTAAGTTAGCTCCACATTCTCCAGCAATATGAATTAAGAATACAAAGCAAGATGGGAATATCGTTCTGCTCGCACAAAATTGCCGGAAAATTTAGGGACCGTCTTAAAAGTGCAATGCCAATCAGCATAACACCACTTGTAAATTGTAATACCACTGTCATTTTTAAGCCAATCAACATCAAACCAAGTTCAATGACTTCCTCTGGCCCTCCCTCATCTTTCACACCATTTTAGGAAATTTTCACACCCATCTGTTTTCCAGAACACCAGCCATATGTGTCCTATAACCGTGTATCATTATTGCAGTTGGATAAATTGTAATAACTTTTTAATTCTTAAACCAATCAACATCAAACCAAGTTCAATGTGTTCCTCTGGCCCTCCCTCATCTTTCACACCATTTTAGGAAATTTTCACACCCATCTGTTTTCCAGAACACCAGCCATATGTGTCCTATAACCGTGTATCATTATTGCAGTTGGATAAATTGTAATAACTTTTTAATTCTTAAACCAATCAACATCAAACCAAGTTCAATGTGTTCCTCTGGCCCTCCCTCATCTTTCACACCCTTTTAGGAAATTTTCACACCCATCTGATTTTCAGAACACCTGCCCTTTGTGTCCTATA